GAGCAGCCACTGCACTCCAGTCTGGGTGACAGAGTAAGACTCCAACTCAAAAAAAAAAAATACTCAAAATACTGCATGAAGCAAAAGTGGTTATGACAACAACATCCCTTTTCCTCTTTACTTTGTCCAGACATGAGTCTTTGATGTGGCAATGCAGCTATCTTGTGAATAATGTAAAATAAACAAACTGATTAAATTAAATAGATCTATTAAGGAGTCGTTACACCAATCTAGCAGAGGAAGAAAAAACAAGGTCCAGACAGACAGAAAGAGTAACTACTGGTTTGTTTTTCTAACTGTCCTCCCTAAAGAGCATTTTTCACCCACCGATTTGAACAGTATGTTCAGTAGAAGTGTTTGGAAGAAATGGAAACACTCCTGCTTTAATGCAATGACTTGAAAAGGAAAGTTGCATGTGTACCTCAGGGGATGTGTAGATAGCAAACAACCAAGGCAATTGTCCAGGGGACACCTAAGAGGATTCAATATAGAACACAGGTGACATAAATGCTAAGTACTTAATGAAATGATCTTCTCCAGACTGGAGAGGAGGTAGGTAAAATGAAAGATGTGAAGCATTTTTAGCTTCTAAGAAAAGATACTACTATTGCCTTTTGTCAATTCTATTCAGCAAATATTTACTGAGCATTTACTACATTCCAGTCATTGTGGGGAGCAGGGCACGGAGAGCAGTCTTGCTGATGAAGACACCAGACTCTAGCCCTCAGTTTTTGTGTCAATGTGGAGCTGCCCTTCCTAAAATAAACTGACTGGGGGAAATCTAGAAATGCTGGTTTGCCTCTGCCTCCTGCCTCATTTTTTGCAAATAAAAGGGACCAAGTGGCTTATTGCCAGACATATACAAGGGACAGGCCACCTCTGGATTTTCATTCTACACATACAACAGCAATAGTCAATCCAGACTAAGTCACATGGTGCTACTTCCAGAAAAGGTTAAAGCTATTTGGTAAAGTTGAAGGGAGTGTGTGAGTGTGCACATGTATGTGTATGGGGGGAGGGATAATATTATTTCACAGTCACATATGTAAAAGTTTGAAATTTAAATCAAACTGGTTTTCTTGAAGGATTCTTTATACACCAATCTTCTTTAACTAGGAGTTGTCTTCTCCTTACTTCAAAGAGGTGTTACTTGAGAGCAAATGTCCCCCAAGATCCACTTAGAACCAGATACCTCCACCGCCTGAGTATCACTTATTCCCCAGACATGCTCTCTCTTTTCCTCTGTAGGCCATTTCTCCCAATACCCCTACCAAAGAGCCCAACCCAAGAAGACTCTATATTCACTAAGCTGCTCAAATTCCAAGTAAGAAGCAAAATTCCCTCTCATCAACAGTCTCAAAACCCAATGCATTCCATGTGTTTCTGACTGCCCACTTAATTCATTCACGATCACTCATGTGAATTTACATCACTCCAAATTCTGTTCCTAGTTGCCGCTGATGTAAATTTACGCCTTTGCAAATTCTGTTTCTGAATGTTGCGATGTTGTCATATGTATGTGTTATTATATTTTGCTTGAAAATGAATAGTTGGAAGGCTGAGGCAGAAGGATCTCCAGAGCCCAGCAGGTCAAGGGTGCAGTGGCTGGAAGTGTGCCCCTGCACTCCAGTCTGGGCAACAGAGTGAGACTCCAGCTCAAAAAAAAAAAAAAAGAAAAGAAAAGAAAAGAAAATGAATAGTGAGGCAAGGAGACAGAAATTTAATTGAGATAATTATCCATTATCTACTGGGCAATGTTATTGATTTACGTAGTTGGTAAAAGTTGCAAGTCAGTCATTATTTTGTTGCAATTAGTGTTGTATACTTGTATTTTGATATTTCAGGGCTGTCATACTTGAAAGTCAAAAATAATTGGAAAATGAAGAAATTTATGCTGATGAGATATCCAAGGTCAAAGGTGAATCCAGTGAACTTTTTAGTGAGTGAGACAGACAGTGATGTAATCATACAATATAAACAAAAAAAATCTAGATATACAATATAAATAATAAATATTCAGTTTATAATCTGAATAAAAATACAAAGTACAGAATGCTACTCAGAGTGGTGTCTGGGGTAAATACTGGGTATGTTGCAACTTTCAGCTGTACTGTGAAAAAGATGACAGTTTAGAAAAGACCATCTCACTTGTGCTTAACAACCAAAGTTTGTGGCAACCAGCTTCAGATTTTTTTAAATTTTCACCAGCTCTCAGTATTAGGAAAGTGAAAAATTTGCCAATCGCAAATGTGTTAACCCCAATTACATATAGCCCTTCTCACCCACCCTGGAATCTACCTTGACTTTAAAGGCATGCACACCTCCACACACAAAGGTATATGAGAGTCTCTTATCCAGCCTGCACTATAGCGCACCAAATGCTCCATTAGCTGTACCACCTGTCAAGCTTCTCTCTGGACCAGCTTCTCGGTAGCAGCTGATGAGTAACTGCCCTTCAATTAGCCTACCACTTGTGAATAAACTGTATTTCCTACCACCCTCAAAGGATGCTCCACACCCTTTCAGTCACCCATCTGCTACCAAATTTCATTCCAGTTTACCAGTAATCCAACAGAGGATCCAAAATGCAAGCCTACTGGTGTGCTGGATTGAATACAGGGTCTCCCAAAAAAAGTCTACCCAAAGCCTGTGAATGTGACCTTATATGGAAGTAGGGTCTTTATGGACATAATCAAATAAAGTAATACTAGAGTAGAGTAGACCCTATTCCAATGACTGATGTTCTTATAAGAAAAGGAGACCAGGCACAGTGGTTCACCTGTAATCCCAGTACTTTGGAAGGCCGAGGTGGGAAAATCGCTTGAGCCCAGAAGTTCAAAACCAGCCTAGGCAACACAGTGAGACCTCATTTTTATAAAAAATAAAAAAAATTAGCCCTGTGTGCTGGCATGTACCTGTATTCCCAGCTACTTGAGAGGTTGAGGCAGAAGAATTGCCTGAGCCCAGGAGGTTGAGACCGCAATGAGCTGTGATACTCCAGCCTGGATGACACAATGAGACCCTGACTCAAAAAGAAAAGAAAAGAAAAGAAAAATATGGTTGGGTGTGGTGGTTCATGCCTGTAATCCCAGCACTTTGGGAGGCTGAGGCAAGAGGATTGCTTGAGCCCAGGAGTTCAAGACTAGCCTAGGCAACATAGTGAGACCTTGTCTTTAAAAAAAAATTGTTAAAAAATTAGTCAGGCATGGTGGCGCACACCTGTAGTCCTAGCTACTTGAGAAGATGAGGATTGTCTGAGCCCAGGAGGTCGAGGCTGAGGTGAGCCATGATCGTGCCACTGCATTCCAGTCTGGGTGACAGAATGAGACCCCGAATCAAAAAAAAAGGGGAGGAAATTTGGACACACACAAAGAAAAGATGAAGGCAAAGACTGGAGTTATGCTGCCACGCCAAGGAGCACCAAGGATTGCCAGCAATTACCAGAAGTAAAAAGTATTAAGGAGAGCCTTTGGAGGGAACATGGCCCCAATGACTCCTTGATTTTGGATCAGTAGTCTCCAGAACTGTGAGAGAATAAATTTGTTGTTTTGAGCTACCCAGTTTGTGGTAATTGGTTACAGCAACCTAGGAAACTAATACAGCTGGTAAGTCAAGAAAAGTACAAATGGAACTACTTCTAATTGCTTGATATTTGAGGTAAGTTCCCAGACATTTTATAATTTCCCAGAAAGCATGTGTGGAAACTGAATAACCTTAAAAACCAGGCAAAGAAAAAATGCCAGTTTCAACCAGATCAGTGAAAGTCTTTGAGCTTAATGTAAACAGTAAACACATCAGTGCTTCAATAGTTAGGTATCTCTGACCACAACTGCTGAAGGAATTGAAGAAACAGCATGCAAAAAATCTGAGGAGAATTAGGCCTGATGCTGCAGCAAGGAGCCCCTCTCTTATGAAAGAGATCCAGGATCATTAATAGCTATTAACAGCAGAGAGCACTCAATGCTCACCACTACTTCTAACTAGTTTTAAGGCAGGAAAACTGTCCCACCTACTGAAGGACCACCAACAGAAGGCATTTCAGGAAAAATTCCAATGTTTTATTTAAAACAAGCTTCCGGGTAGGCATGGTGGCTCACGCCTGTAATCCCAGCGCTTTGAAAGGTCAAGGTAGCAGGAATACTTGAGCTCAGGAGCTCAAGATCAGCCTAGGCAACATAGTGAGACCTCGTCTCTACATAAAAATTTAAAAATTACCTGGGCGTGGAAGCACATGCCTATATCCCTAGCTACTTGGGAGACCGAGGCAGAAGGATCTCCTGAGCCCAGGAGGTTGAGGCCAAGGCTGCAGTGAGCTGTGATCATGCTACTGCACTCCAGCCTAGGCAAAAATGTGAGATTCCAACTCAAAAAACAAACAAGTTTCTCCACTCTTAGTAAAAGAATGGCAGAAAGGAAGAGAACCAATATCTCTCTGTAGAATATGCCTAATTTTTCCCAAGGGGCAGTGGGCTATATTCTGCTCAATCCAGGCACTAGGTATTCAAATAACCAGATGGGCCAGGTACGGTGGCTCAGACTGTAATCCCAGCACTTTGGGAGGCCAAGGCGAGAGGATGGCCTGAGCCCAGGAGTTTGAGACCAGCCTGGGCAACTTGGTGAGACTTCGTCTCTACAATAAATCACAAAAACTAGCTGGGTGTAGTGGTGTGCGTCTGTAGTTCCAGCTATTGGGAAGGCTGAGGCAGAAAGATCGCCTAAGCCCAGCAGTAGAGCTGCAGTTGCCCTGAGAGTGCCACGGCACTCCAGCCTGGGCGACAAGAGTGAGACTCCAACTCAAAACAACAATAACAACAAAAACCAAATAACCAAATGGCCAGTGACTTCAGACCACACAGACAAGCATACCTTTCGCTCCATGATTGATAGAGGAGGGAGGCTCATCATCAGATGTGGAGCTGAGGTTCCGGGCAAGCTCCGCAACTCTTTTTTTCTGTTTCTTGATGGGAGCAGTACATTCTGGGTCAGCTCTTCTCTTCATTGTTAACTGTAATCATAAATCCAGATAGTCAGCTGCCCTTGGGTCAAAGCCACTGGGATCAGGGCAGGGATTCCAAAGTATAAATCATCAATGGGATGAGATTTGGCAACTCTACACATCTTCTGGTGCCAGCACTTGAATAGCCTCTTCCTCAGAATGAGGTCTAGGAAGGATGCTAGCCAAGTTCTGGTTTTTAATAACAGCTGTTAGTTTTACTGGAAAATGTGGTGTTCACAGACCCAAAGGCCTCTGGGCCACTGGTGTTTGATACCAAAAAGTCATGGATCGACTTCACAAACCACAGGGGAGAAATGGCCTTGGGTGCTTGTTATTCTATACTTCTGATGCAACACTGGCCATGCATGACAATGTACAATGTACACAATAAATTACAAAACCTAGTAAATAAATATCAACCAATATTTCCAAGATGAAGGGACCATTCCAGAATGACTGTTTCATCGCAATTATTACTTTACCAAAACAATTAAGAGATAACATATTATGATATAAATATTAGTTTTTGGGTTACTTTATGAAGCTTGAAAATATGAAAGAATTGGAAAAGTTTTTAATCAGAGTAAGGAAAGAAAGCAGTGGTTGGTTTAGAACTGAGGAAACAGAAGTGGGAAAGGCATTAGACTATAGGTAGCTACATCATAGGAATGTGATACAAAAATAGTATTTTAAAAACAGGAACCCGCCTCTACAAAAAAAGATAGAAACAGGCAGGCACCATGACACCAGCATTCATGCCCATGGGTAGGTACATGAGAGGTAAGCATGAGGAAAAAAATGAGATGGAATGAAGCAATTATGAGACCCTGAAATCTTAAGGAATGATCAAGCTAAAGAGCAAGCAAAAGAAGTAGTGAATACAGCGTGGTTTACACACAACTGTTGGCCGTAGAGAACTCAAAAAAGAGAAAGGTCTCAAAATAGGATGGGTGACCAGCTGGGCTGCAACCCTTGGGGAAAGGGAGGTGCACAGGAATGGGCTTATAGCATGAGTCACAGCAGCCACAGCAAGAAAGCAATGAAATCCAAAGGTGACGCTGATTTTCGGCAATGTCACAGAACCCTGGGTCACACATTTCATTTCTCTTCAGCTCAAGGATGAGCCAGTCAATAGAATACACAATCACATCCTTCCTAAGGAAGCTGCCTCTTACTAGGCACAGGCAGGGGCTATCCTAGGGAAATAGGAAGAACAGGACACACTGAGCAAGCAGAAAGAAAGGCCAACCATAGTCTTAAATTCCACCCAAAAGGCCCAGAAGGTGAACTGAAAGGAATCCTGTTTCTAGCCACAGCAAATGCAAAAAGGTTCCTCTCATTGACTCTGGGGGAGATTGGAAGTACAGGAAATTCAATGTGGACTGTGTTGGGATGGATGCAAGAAAAAGAGAGGAAATAGTTGTGTGAAAGGAGGAGATGCTGATGCTCCTCCCCAAACCACATCAGCTTAGATTTGGGCCTTCCAAATCCTCTAATCCAACCCTCTCGTTTTCCACTGGAAAAGACTGAAGCCCAAGACAAGGCCGCACAGCTAACTTGTGCCCAGCTGAAGTGACCTCCACATGCCAGAAGAGTGTGATCTGGCAGGGAACTTCTAAGTGAAAAGCAGGAGGCTTGGTTCAACCTGCTGCTTCCCCACAGGAGGGGCTCAAATCCCCTCTGCAGTCTTTTCTCCCTGGGCCTCCGCTTCGCACTGCCACTCCTATTCGAAGGGAAGAGATCGGCTCTCTGGGCCAGTCCCTTCATTTGAAGATAACATGTGTGTGTGAATGCGCAGATAAGTGGCAGCGGCAGCTTCGGCTCCAGGGAACTGGCGTGGAGGCGCGGTGGGAGCAGTGCAGGAGGGAAGAGAGAGGGTCAGGAGGCGAGGAGAGTCACGACCGTGCGGGGCCGAGGCGGCGGTCGTAGGGAGAAGGATGCTGAGCCCGCGCGCCCGCCCGCTCGCTCCCCCGGGGCCGCGCGTCGGCACTCACGCTGAGGGGAGAGGGCGAACTGCCGGGAAATGGAGCGGGGGTTAGGCCGACGCTGTCGCCGCCGCCGCCGGGCCTAGCCCTGCCACTGCCAGAGCCGCAGCCGCCTCCCTCAGTTTCGCTTCCCCACTAGCCAGGCGGAGAGCGCCGGACGCGCAGTCGCGCTCAGGTCCCGCCCTGCGGGCCGCGCGGCATGATGACGTCACGATCAGCCCCGCCCCTGCCTCCCGGCCCTGTCCTAGCCTTGGGAAAGGCTCCTCAGACTTTGGCCCTTCCCACCTGGGGACCCGGAAGGTCCCGGGCGCCGGCACAGAAGAGCAGCCTGGGAAAAGATGCAAAAGCAAAAGTGAGCAAGTAAATTCTCATCTGGCCCTAGGGGAGAAAAAAAACAATTCAAAAATTAAAAGTGCCACATTACGTCATTTTACTTAAATCTCATTGTCGTCTTCATTTTACAGATTAAGAGCTGGTTCAAAGATGTAGACTGTAAACTGGTTGAGGATAGGAACCACGTGTTCTTGTTCACTGCTGTATCCTCAACATCCAGCATATAGGACATCCTCAACAGATACTGAAAGAAGGACGGGAGGAAAGAAAGAATGCCGCCTATAACATCTTACCATATGGACACAGATGGCTCTCCACTCCGAAACTCTTTTCCAATTTCCAGACCAATATGGCCAAGCGTCTGTTGGACATACTCAAACCCCATGAATTCAGATTTTACCTTATGTTCTCCCACCAACCCTCATTTTTCCCAGTGAATGGCACAGCCACCCAAACTCCATCCAAAAATCTGAGTCCCCCTCTTTCTCATTCCCTACATTCTCTAATACTCTTAAGTTTACCTCATAATTGTTTCTCAAATCTAAGCACTCACCTCCATCCCCATTGCCAAAACTCATGCACTCACCCTCTCTAGAAGGATTTCTCCAGTAATAGCAAATCTTGTCTGTCTCCAGTTGTGATCCTTCTAATGCGCTGTTCACAAAAAATAGAGTGATTTTTTTTTTTTTTTTTTTTTT